TATCTTTTGCTAATATCATGTTGATGATGATAATTGAGTACTTAATGATGTTTGTTAATCTTTTTTCAGCTATGTTGGTCATGAAGAAGGTGGGCAGTTGACGGAGGCAGTGAGAAGGCGACCTTATAGTGTCGTTCTATTTGATGAGGTGGAGAAGGCTCACCCATCAGTTTTCAATACTTTGCTGCAAGTCTTAGATGACGGGAGGTTGACTGACGGTCAAGGTCGAAGAGTTGATTTCACGAATACTGTCATCATCATGACCTCAAATCTCGGGGCAGAGTATCTCTTGAGGGGACTGATGGGGAAAACAACAATGGAGAGTGCCCGTGAAATGGTGATGCAAGAGGTATATTACTATATTTAGTTATTTACTTGTTTCATCTGTTGATTGAATAGATTTCTGCAATTATGATATTTGCAAGTGATAAACTAGTTTTGCTTAAATTTATTTTGATTTTGGTTTGGCTAGGTGAGGAAGCATTTCAAACCCGAGCTGCTCAACCGATTGGATGAGATTGTAGTGTTCGATCCGCTCTCTCACGACCAGCTGAGGAAAGTTTGTCGTCTCCAGTTGAAAGACGTGGCAACCCGTTTGGCTGAGAGGGGTATTGCTTTGGGAGTTACTGAAACTGCACTAGATGTAATATTAGCTGAAAGTTATGATCCGGTAAGCATTTTTTTTTTTCAGGAATGATTGGTGTTTGATGATTATTGGTTTATCTGCCTAAAAAATCAAGAATCAGATACTTGAATGCTTTTCGTAAGTTGTAATTATGTTCTGATTTTACCGATCGTTAAGTATGTTTTTTCCAGGAATGATTCGTGTTTCGTGATTGATTTATCTGCGTAAAAAATCAAGAAACAGAGACATGAATGCTTTACCACAAGTTGTAATTATGTGCTAATTTTTACTGAATCATGAATTTTTTACTGGCTTCAGGTTTATGGCGCGCGTCCCATAAGAAGATGGCTGGAGAAGAGGGTTGTGACTGAGCTCTCCAAGATGCTCGTCCGAGAGGAAATTGATGAGAACTCGACAGTGTACATTGATGCTTCTTTGGATGGTAAAGAATTGGCTTACCGTGTGGAGAAGAATGGTGGGCTGGTAAATGCCGCCACAGGAGAGAGAAGTGATATACTGATTCAGCTTCCGAATGGCCCGACTCGTTCGGATGCTGCTCAGGCGGTCAAGAGAATGAAGATTGAAGAGATTGATGAAGATGATGAGATGGAGGGTTAAAAACTATAAATAGTCTCCACTTAGTTTGTTCTTGTGTTTGTGTTTT